AAATAAATGAATGAGTTATACTCACAGCCATGCCAGTACCAATTTCCATCATAATTCCATCACACAATTGCAGAAAGCGAGGATGAGCTTATTGTGTTGCAAAGCATGCTGTCTTGCAAACTTTTACACCTCGTGAGTTAGAGAAAATAGCAGCAGAGTGCAGTTTGAAAAAGTGTATCCAGCAGAGATGTTGGAGCTCATGTAGTCTCACACCCATCAAAAATTAACTGGCATGGCACTGTCATGAATTCTGATTTGGATGGTGTCTAAATGGGACTAGATTTACTAGGATTTAATCAGCCACAAGTATAATATTAGTTGTGTGTTGATGGTCTTGAGAAAGATGAAAAGAAGGAATGTAGTGAAGTGACCAGTAGGGGGAGCTAGAAAAAAAGGTTTTAAAAGAGGAATATACAGTAGATGTAAGAGGTGAAAGGAGAAAGTAAAGAGCTTCTGCACATTCAACGAGTGCTGCAGGCAACCATTATAATTACAATGAAAAAAGAGCAAGGATGTTGCCAGCAAGTGAGCACTGAAGACTCACAACAAAAAGGTTGCTGGTCCATGAAGAATAATTGAGACAATTTTTTCAATTTTGATTTGAGTTAATTTTCTTATTTTACTAAGTGTATGTGACTTATGGAAGGGAAAGACAGAAAAAAATTGGGAAAATGGGGAGATAGAAAAGAGTTACTTTTTTTGCTGAGCCCCAGGCCCCCTATCTAAGGATCTACATTGCTTTTTTCACTACTATCCACAGCAAAGACCAAAATATAGAAATTACATATATAGAAATATAGAAACAATAGGAACTGACTAACATACATTAAAGAGTGAAACTCTTCATACTGTTTTATTAGACAAATCAGTAATAGTTCATTTAACAAAGGATGGCCTGGGTAGGTGTGGGGTTTCCCAGTCTTAAAGAGCCCATATTATACATGAAATAGGGTCATATCTTGGTTGTAAGGGTCTCCAACAACAGTTTAATATGCATGCAAGGTCAAAAAACACTTTCGTGGTCTTATAATCTGCATTTATTTTTACCTAATTATCCCAGCGACTCCTGTATGAATCGTCCAGTGATTCATTTGTTCCCAAACCCCTCCCTAGCGCGAAGCTAATCTGCGTTGATTGGACCAATGACAGTCTGTTGCGATTGGTCGACTGCCTTCAGTCAGAGTGAAATGCCAAACAGCTAATCAGCAATATAAAAGTAATCACAGTGCATACACGCTCGATAGTGTAGGCGTGGATTTTAGCTGCCAGTGGGTCAATGTAAATACAGACTATGGACTTGAAAATACAGACGACTAACTATTTTATTGAGCAAAAACTCCAAAAACAGTTGAGGAGATCTCCTAGCTTCTCACTCTGCTCTTTTCACAGACACACACACACACATATTGCACACACACACACACACGCACTTAACCCTGCTCCGGACGACAACGCGCGCGCGCACACACACACACACACCTCCGGACGACAGCGCGCGCACACACAGACACAGACACTACTCCTCGTCCACGAAGCTCCGTTAACAAAGCAGCACGCGTCGCGTTTTTAACGTGACTTTGCACGCGATAAGAGAATATAGCGAGTTAACCTGATACAGTACACGCGGTTACAAGTAACAAATCACAACTAAATACATTTGCAAGCTAGAGTCAACGAGGCAACTTTAATCGCACGTACTTACATTTGAGAAATGGAGGAAGAAAAATCCATCCTGACGTCCATCAGTAAGTTACTCTTTACTGATCCTTCCTTTAACAAACGCTGATGAAGTATTCTTTGTAGCATGTAGTTTCCAGAAGTTTCCAGTAGTTTCCAACTGCTTGGCTATAATGCTGAGGTTTCATCTTTGGGTAGAGACTCAATATATCCATCTGCAGTGTGACTTCAATCGACCGGCATGTTTGTTTGTGTGTTTGTGGGTGTGGGTGTGTGTGTGTGTGTGTGTGTGTGTGTGTGTCTGGGTTTCTGCGTCAGAGGGCGGGGCCTCAGGTTTGAAATCTCCCGGTTTTGCGCGTGCACGTGAATAACTTGGTTTCGTTCGTACGTCATGGCGAAACACCTAATGAATCGGTATCAAGGCGACTCGTTTGAAGCACTATGAGTCGACTCTTTTATAGATGAATCAACAGTTTTAAACACTGTACACTAACAGATTTAAGCCTTAGCTGGATACTTCACTTCACTTAGAGCTGTGTTACACACTACATGGAGGGAAATTTTCAAAAACCCATAATATGGGCTCTTTAAATTCTGTCCCAGTCTGCATTCTTATATTATATACATAATTCACACACATTTAGTAGGCCTACCTTGAAGAATCAACATATGTATACAGCCTACCTGCCAAAGTATAAAATAATAGGGTGTTCAGGTTTTTTTTAAATACATTCACTATGGATTGCAAGTGTATGTCCAATGCAATACATACTAATTTTATTTTATTTATATGGCCCAAGGCCTAACCATAGGAAAATTTGTGTTCCCCTGAACAAAAAATACTAAGATATAGAGTACTATAGCTGTCAGATGTTATAACAAATGTAAAAAGTTAAATCCACGGTTTATTTGTGTGGTCATTCCAGAATAATTGGTTAAAAAAAAAAAAAAAAAGATTTTGTCCGGTTAACTTGTGTTGGTTTATTTAACTCGTAATTTTTAAACAGCAATGCTGATCCAGGATCAACATTAATCCATTAAACAACATTAAACAAAATGGTTAAGCTTCTATATAAAGTTATATTTTGTGACACAAGGTTTGACTTTAGCACACAAAATATAGAGGTAGCCTTAAGGATGTTCAGGGGAAATTGTAGTAGTCTAATGTGCTTATAACATTTAAAATCTAGTTAAAATATCATCTTAAAGTATAACAGCAAGTGTAATCATTTCATAGACCTACTATTTGACCACAGTGAGTGTTAAACAATGAAGTGTTAAACAGTGATTTGGTTGAACCACTGGCAAAGCTAAACCATTAATATATAAAGTGGAGCAAAAACTTTTTTTTTTAAATCAAATCAAACACTTTACACTGTACAAAAACATGTCAAAAAGTCATGACAACCATGTTTATGTTACCTTAAATTATTTTAATACGTTTAACTTAATTATTTATTCAGTTTGACTAATTTAAGTTGAGATGACTAGAACATTTCAGTTGAATCAACTCGATTTAAAGTAGCAAGTTTTTTTTGTAATGTAGCATAAACATAAACATTCACATAAACAGTCCTGTTTTCATCAAACATCCAAATGTCATAAATAAGTATTTTTTATATGGTTCTTTAAAGACATAATTTGGACACTGGTAATGGGTATCAGTGTTGGCATCCCTTTAATTAATCATTTCAAACAATATTTACCTCATATTTTTGGAATCAGCTGTTAAAAAGCTTCATCCTACTCTCAGATAAACACATTGACAGATGCTCTGAATATTATTCATATTCACTGTGCAGAAAAGCATCATATTGACACACTTTTAACCAGACTACTACAGCATGGAAGTTCCACTTGTTTCTTTTTAACACGCCACTATAAGTCATGACACTTTTCATCACCATAACCACAATGACACATTTTGTTTCTGCTTAAATAATATTTATGATTAAAAACATCTGAGGCTTTAAGATAACATTACATATCATGTCATCTGATACACACTTTGTGGTGGTTTCCCAAACTTTGAGAAGTCTTGATTCTGACTAAATGGCCAGTGAGAGAGATATATCTCTAAGATGACACTTACAGTAGTCCAGGTGTACGTTAAATACATTGCCATACTAATAGCCCTTTAAGAGTTAACAGAAAATAAATAATTTGCACAAAAATTATTTAATTATAAATCTATCATTTACCCTCATGCAATCCAAAACCACATCACTTCTTCAATAAACACAACAATGGTGAGAATGAGATCATTTAAAGAATGTTTTGGCTGCACTTTTCACAAAAACAAATGTTTTTCACACAAACAAAATGTTAACATGTCAAAATAAATACAAACAAACAAAAAAAGTGTTGTAAAAAATGATGGATTCCACAAAATTGATTTGTATAGAGACAAAATGGAGGAAATTAATTAACTTTTAAATGTTTACAAAAATAAGTGGATTGAACACAATACAATTAAGTTGTCCCAAAAAACCTTCAAGAATAGTGTTGTCTCAGCTTGTTTTAAATAAGTAGTTTAAACAAATAACAAACATCATTTTTTTGAGAGTGTGCTAAATTTCTGGTATTCTAAAGTCATATGAGATTTTTTTTGTGTGTGAAAAACAGACCAAAATGTCTTCATTTACCTTCTGCTACACACACAATAGCAAAACCAAATAAATAAAAAGTATACTTTGGGTATACTAAATTGGAATATTTGAAACATGGATGACAGAGGGACTGATTTTTGGCAAACTCTGGCTTATATACTGTTAGAGCTGTGCTTCGATAGAGCTACTCTTTTGTGGATCAGCCTTTTACTATACTGAACTGAATCAGTTTTAATTTAACTAGAACTACAGCAGCAATCCATCACTACTCTCCTGCTGGCCTGATTTTCTGAAATGTTCCACGATCAGAAATGTTATGTCTGTTTATTCTCTTTCCTTCATCTATGTTAAGCTGCTTTGGCACAACAAACATTATAAAAGCACTACTGAAATAAAGACGAATTGAATTAAATATCATTCTTCTCCTCATCTAAAGTTACCAAAATATATAGTGCTTTTTTGGAGCTTAATAGCTGGTCTCAGTATACCTTCGTTACCATATATATATATATATATATATATATATATATATATATATATATATATATATATATATATATATATATAGCTTTTATGTGATTTAACTTAAACGTATCTTGTTTTTTGTTTGGACTAGTTTTATTGCATGTATATTTGTGTGTATCTTTTAAATTTATACTTTTCATATTTTTACTTTGAGATGCTACTTAAATAAACACACAAAAAAGCTTATTCTTTTTAACTCTATATGAAACCAGCAGGCAAGGCATTCTGCTAAACATCTTATTTGTGTTCCATGGAAGACCAAAAACACCACAGTTTTGGAACAACAAGGAGGGCAAGTCAATTATTTTGGGCAAACTAAGACTTAATCTACTTAGCTTATATAAAGCAAAACAACATGTGGTTTAATATAATAATTTTCAATATAATAATTAATAAACTAATAATTTATGCAGAGATTATAGTATGCTTAATTAGAAGTAAGTTCAAGGACATTGACAAATGGCACAAGCCCTGAGACACAAAGTATGTTGTCCACCAGGTTGACTCTATCCAGTGCGTACAAGTCAACTACTAATAGTACTGAAAACACTGCAGCAGGAGTGCTACACTTCCTGGTCAAGAGGCAGCCAGACAGGACGTGATATCATCAGCTCCTGTAAGTTGTGTCCCAGTGCATTCCAGTTAGTGTAGTGATGACACCAAAGTAGAGTTCTTAAGTATTTTCAACTTAGTGATTTTATAGAAATAAGTTAAAAAAGTCATTCTCCTTGACTTCCATGTCATCTTCAATTTATTTTGTCTTAGTGCTGAAGCAAGAAGTTTGTTGCGATGTTAATGTCATTATTAGATGCTCTGAGTGCTTCTTGGGCATCCATCCTTGAGAAACCCATCTCCATTAATCTTGCAACCTGGTGATAGCAGCATAAAATGAATTCATTTTTAGTATTTAGCAGAATTCATTTTTAATATACCAATAAGCAGTGATGAAAAAGTCACTTTTTAAAAGTAATACTCTACAACTCTACTTTAAAAAAGAACTAAATCTGTCGCTTGGTTATATTTGATGCAAAGTAGATGTTACAGTACGTTACTTTTTCAAATGTACAAGTGTTCAAATTTATACTAGAACTATACTGAATATCATGAATCAACATATCTGCTCTCTCAAAATATTCTATTTTCCCATTTCTGTCAATAAAAGGGACAGGAGAACTGTCAGCCAATAAATGAGAAATCAAAGTAACAGCCATTACTAGCCATTACTTTGAAAACAATTATTGACATTTTCTAGGAAATGAAACAGTAATGAGCTACTTTACTAGTTACTTGGAAAAAGTAATCTGATTACAAAACTCACAGTACTTATAATTACCCCTCAAAATTGCCCACGAGGCCAAAGAAATCGTACTGACGAAAAAGCTTTTAAAAAATAAAATGGCCAAATAAATCTACACTTAAAATGCATGTCACATGATCTCACCTGTTCCTCTGTCACTGCTGGGTTCTCTGTTGGTTGAGTATAGGAGGGCTGCTGTGGCCCCTCATGGGGCCGGTTTTGTCCTCTGTGCCTCAGAGTGGGGAAGAATCTGTTCCAGTTCAGGAGCCCAGTCTGTTGTGGACAGCAATCAGTGAAGGCAATTCAACATCAATATTAAAGTCACAATTGGATTAAAATGAACCATTCCTATTTTCTAAAGTAAGTTAAATGCAAAAACGTTCTTACATTTCCTTAATATTACACAGAATTTAATAATTTGAATGCTATCTGGATGACATTATGACCAATATAATTAAGCTTAATACCATTCCCATTAAGTAAGGGTGATGTACATCTAGCCGGTTGTTATCACAGATTATCGCTCTCTGGATAAATTGATTCTGATGGATCAATCATGATATTCCAAGGTATGTTATTCTCAGAAAACAACCGGTCTACACAGGTTCAACACAGGTTTTAATGGGAACTTCAAATCATCTTTGCCATTAGTAAATATATTCATAGATGTACTTACAGTATATGCATATACGTTTTTTGCTATTATGAAATATTTATTGCTAAATATTTAACTATTGGAAAATATCTGCTGTTCAAAAGTTTGATAAACATCTATAAAAATCTGCTGAATGAAAGTTGTAAATAGTAAAAATCTTTACAAACATACTTTATGTGTAAAACTGATGTCTAATAGACATTTAGTAAATAGTCCATTATAAACAAAGGCAAAGGAAGGAGACAAATAAAATATGACAACAAATAAATACATGACTTTAATTATAGATAAGTTCTTCAAGTCTCTGTTTTCTTCATAAGCTAAATGTGTATTTGTCATGTCAACTGTAGCAAAAGTGCTTTAAGCATCATGCGTAAATCTATACATAAATATGCTATAGTGGTGTGTTGTTTCAGAGGCTGCATGCTTCATGCTCCTCTGGCAATATTGTGGACGAGTCTGGATCTGATAATTGGCAGGAAAATGATACACACGACTGGATTGTACAGAGTGAAGTTTTATGGAGGGCGGATTACAGTGCGCACTTGTTTTTCAGGTGAAAAAGATAAAAAGGACTTTTAATGCTTTAGCATACCAAGATATTCTGGACAATTTCATGCTCCCAACTTTGTGAGAGCAATTTGGAGATGGCCCCTTTCTGTTCCAACATGCCTGCGCACCAGTGGACCAACATATATCTATAAAGACATGGATGAAAGTTTGGTGTGGAGGAACTTGACTGGCCTGGACAAAGTCCAGACCTCAACACAATAGAACAGCTTTGGTAGGAATCAGAGCATAGATTTGAGTACATCAAGCCATGCTTTCACCTCAAAACATCAGTGACTGACTTTACAAATGTGCTTTTAAAAATGGTTAAAAAAAAAAAAAATCGCTTGAACACACTCCTAAACCTTGTGGAAATCCTTCCCAGAAAAGCTTTGCATGTAAAAGCAAATGTCCTACGACCTTTTGCAATATAATGTTCAATAAGGCTCTCAGCACAAGTTTTAAAATAGCACCATACAAAAGAAATTTTATTTCAAAAGTTAATTCAAGCATTTTCAAGCATCTTTCTGTTTCTAAGTATTTTCTAGGCCTTGAGTTCATGCTTCTGAAACCCTGGTACTATCAAGAAGCATGGAAGACCTGTATGATTTGACTTGTTACAACATCAAATTTCAAACTTAAGAATAACAACCATTTACTCAACGCAAGAAGTCATACCCACAAGAAAAATGATCTCATAGCCACAATATAATATCACAAGTCAACAAGTTGTTGTCCATGACAAAACTAAATGTATCAAACATGTCCATTAATGATAACTGTAGATTACTTTTACATGTAAAGGATCTGTTGAGTATTAAGCGGAGCTCAAATAAATGTAGAATTATTTTGTTTCATTTATGGTTATCAATAGGGGTTACCACCTTTTACGTTTGGCCAGTTAAATTAGTTAAATTATAAAATGCAACATATCCTTATTTTTTCACTCCTCATTTTTTTAATTATTAGGTATTTTTAACCTTTTTACTATAGAAATAAGCTTTAAAAAAAAATCTCCTTGACCTCCTTGTCATCTTCAAATTATATTGAAGCAAGAAGTTTGTTGAGATAAACACAGGCACCAACCTACTGTTAAACAAGGGGTTATTAATCTTAATTTTAAATTAAAGTTAGCACAATCTACCTTTTGGTACAGTAATTTTTTATGACCAGTTTCTAAACTTTTTGCAAATTACCATTGTGTGAATAAAGACAGCACATCTTACTTTGTATTTCCATAATAGAGATTTTGTAACAGAAGTGACCTGCCAAGGTCCATTCAAAAACAATCATTTTCACTATTCTCCAACAGGACATTTACATCACTAGCAAACTCTGTCTAGCTCACAGCTAAATGTACATTTCAAAAGTACCGTGTATGTTTTTTGGTAAGTACCTATACAATTTTAAAGAATATATTTTCCATTTCATTTTGATGAAGGACAACATAATTTGTTCTTATCAGGCTTCTGTGATAAAAAAAAACTGTGGCTGTCTGTTGGTTCGCTGGAAACCATTAATTTCCCCAAATTCAAAATAAACAAGGGAAAAACTATGTAAAAAAAAAAAAAGAAAAATAAGTAATATCACGTTCTATCTTGCTATATATGAGTGACAGAAACATGGAAACCAAGCTAGTTAACTCATCGCAGAAAGATTTCAACATTTCTGATAAAGCAAATGTATCTTTTGAAACATACAGTGTGTCCATCAATGATTTCCCCACAAACAGCAGTTTCTAATCTTCACTATGAAACATGTGAACAAGCCCTCGCCAGAAAATACTTTGTATGGTGAAATTTAAAGTACTGACATGTTTGACAATGAGTTAAAATACTACTTTCAGGTGACTTTAAGATGTACAGTGGTTGACATGCTAGTGTAGATACTTAGTATCGATGAGATAGTGGTGTAGTTATTACACAATACTGATAACAAATACAACTAAACAAGAGATGATGATTCTCACAACAAGACAAGGTCTTGTCACATTGCTTAGTTTATCAGTCTAAAACAATAATAAAAAATAAATAAAACAATTATTTGTAAAAGTTTTTTCACCAACATTAATGTAAAATTTACAAACATTATTACACTAATATTAAAAGATCTACATTAAATGGCGACTCCATTTAAGCTTGTATCATCAAGTTGAATATGATATATTGAAACACGCTGTGACATTGTTCACAAGCTGTTTCCACAGTTGAAACACTGATCAAGACATGATACACATCAGTAAGAGATGATGAGTTGATGTGACGCTTGAACTGACACAACTTCGGTCATCTGTCACACCAGTCACCTGTCACACAGCTTCAAAGACATTACTGCTTCTCTCATTTAAAAAATAACTGAATTTTCAAGTTGAGACTTTGTTGTCTTTAGTGAACAATCCTAAATAATACATAATTTGTACAAGATCACACATTCTTGTGTCTGAAAGTGTGTTTTGAGCCAAATATATATGATTCATTTTAAATGTTTAAAACAGGGGTGCCCACACTTAGTCCTGGAGGGTTGGTGTCCTGCAGAGTTTAGTTACAACTCCAATTAGACACACTTAAACCAGCTAATCAAGCATTTTCTAGGTATACTAGAAACTTACAGGCAGGTGTGTTGAAGAAAGCTAAGCTTGCTGAGATGAGGGCAGTTGCTCTAAACCTCCTGGGCTGACACATAAGTTTGCCTTATGATTGTCAATGTTCATATCAACACAACTGCATGCATTTCTGTCTAGAACCCCACAGCCCCTGGGTGCATCAGTAGTGGAAGTTGTGTCTCTCGCCCTCCCCACCTTCCAGAACTCAATGTAGAACCAAATTGTGCCTTGTTCAGGACTAGATTTGAACTGACACATTGTGGAACTTGTGGGAAAAAGTTAACCTATGCTTTCCTAATGTTAGGATCAGAAGGAAACTAAAGCAAATATTGTATTTTTGCAGAAACTTGATTTCAGAGTATACTACGGAAGCAAGAATTGACTTTCATAGAAAGGCAGGGTATTGTGGCAAATTCCACAAAATGCCTTTTAGGTAGACTGATGTCAGAAAGCATTTTTAAATTGCAAAAGTTTTTGTAGCACAATGATCTCTAATGTCAAAAGAACACAAAAATTTAGATTTTTCAACTAATAGTCAATTTAAATGGTAACTGATAAAAAAAATTAAAACTCGAAACCTGAGTGGTATAGCTAATCCTCTCTACCTTTGTTTATGACCACTCCTCAACCCCAGCTGGTCTGTTTAGGGTTGGGTAGCGTTTGGGGTTTTTTCAATACGGATCCTAAATCGATACTTTTAAAATGGTTCCAGTGCCAAAACGGTGCCTGAAGCGATACTTTTGAGCCACAAAATTATGGTGGATGACTCTAGATAAACCTTTTATTTGACAAAATCTTTTTAAAAATTTATATTTTAATATAACAATATAATTAAAGTTTAAAGTAAACATTAATTAATATTTTATATATTTTAATTACATGAATATATTTCTTTTGATCATTTGTTGGTTGGCATGAATTAAGGATTTGCATTATGAAATTACATTAGCTTACTACTACCCTGTGGAAAGGTTGTCATCAAAATACTGAACTCCTTTTTTTTCCTAGGGTTGCAGCTTGTGATTATGTTTACATGGTTATCAGTAATCTAATGATTTGCCTTAATCTGAATAAGACAATAATATGATCAAGGTGTTTACATGAGTTGCTTTTTAAATGTTCCTTTCATGATCCTGTCTTACATGTTATGGTACATAGATCAATTAACGTCATTGTGTCACCACGCTATCCACGATTCCTCCAGTTTAATGTAATTTCAGGTGTTTCACTGTTAGTTTTTCGACTTTAACTGCAGTTTTACTTTCATTCAGGAACATTTCATTCATGCCCCCATGACAAACAGGTATTTGATGCGAGCATTAAGTAAGGACTGGTGGAAGAGTGCTCTTTTAATGAAATTTGATACAGCATGTTGAATGGAAAGAAAAATCCTCAACATTTGGCGACGCAAATGTATGTGGTCCTTTAAGGTAATCAAAAATCACTGTTTACATGGCAGTCTAGACTTTTATTCAGAGTATTGTTCTAATCATATTCAAATAGGAGCATTCGTGTCCATGTTTGTACACATTGAAAGTGCCAGATGATGTCGCAAGCTTTCAGAGAAAGTGCATTCCTCTGCCTTTAAGTTGATACCCTGCGCCCTCAAACGTGTCATTAAGTTTGACATGTTTCCCCCTTACACACAACTTTTGTAAAGCATCTGCTTCACATTGCTGTGTCAGAATCCTTGCTTGTAAAATACAACTTAGAACACTCAGTTTAGGCAAATTGGATTAACTTGATCATGTGTTGATCTGAAGAGAGTCGCTCTCACTCATCGAATGCGCTGTACTGCGTACGTTGCATGCGTCCGTTCCCTAAGCAACAAGAACAAACACCTAATGTCACCTGTCAACAGGTTTCGGTACCCAATCTTAGTCTGTTTAGGACCAAGTTATTCAACAGGTCAAACTGCTCTGGCTACTGGTGAAGAGGAAGACCCGATGAGGCCTCAGCACACCCTGAAAATTCAGCAAATTCAATAAAAAAACAATAGAAGTACCTGAGCCTGCTGTTGCTGTGCATTTCTTCTCAAGTGTGCCAGCTGAGAAAGGAGCAGTTGCTGATCCAGCATATCCATCCTCTGCTGTCTCTGGATATCCAAAGTAGCCCCCATCCCCAGCGGGGCCTCTGCCGTGGGCTCAGAATCGGAGAAGATTGGCTCCAGAATCACTGAACCACATCTAGCTGCCCATCCAGGCACACGCAAGAACTTCTGGACCGCCAACTTATTACTGTAATACAACATGCCTGCGATCTGAAAGAGAGTGATTGGTGACAATAGAGTTGTTACCATAGATGGGAGTAATATTGTATTTAAAACATACACAATCAATGTGACGAAATGTAACTTGACAAATTAACAGTAATAAACAGAATATATTACTAAGGGCCCTATCATACAACCGGCGCAATGTGGCGCAAGGCGCGGCGCAATAGTCTTTTGGTACTTTTAGCTCGGCTCAAGGGTCATTTTGAGGTGTTGCGCCACACTGTTTAAATAGCAAATGCATTTGCGCTCAAATGTGCGCCCATAGGCGTTCTGGTCTAAAAAAGCAGGCGTGTTTTGGCAGTATTTTGAGCAACTGTAAATAGTCTGTTCTTTAGACCAGAACAAAGTCGGTCTATTGTCTGGCGCAAAGTGCGCCTGGCTTAAACACCTCACACTAAATGCAGAGCAATACGCAAATATCTTTACAGTACATATAAAAAAGATATAATATCTTATATATATTGACGCAAAGTAAATTCACTTTCGCTTTAGCTCTAGTGGATAGGAAAAACCTTACGGCACAGACATCGATTAGCCTATAAATAATTAATTTCGTTTGTTAAGCACTAAGATTTGTTTCAAAACTATTTCTAAATTTAGTTCTAATTTCTAGTAAACGAATAAATGAACAATAAAAGCAAAGTGTGGTCAAAATACTTATTATTTCCAAATAGACCTGCCATGCCCCATATGGTCTAAAATTTGACAGGTGGACAAATCTAAGCTTGTTTTTAATTAAACAAATATAAATATGGATATAATAAATAATACTGCTAATAATAATAACATTATAAAAGCTAATTGAATGAACTGAAAAAGCCTCCTGAGATGAAGAAAGTAAGGCAGGGGTTTTTAAATCTTCATGTAGGCTAGAAATTAATATGTTTTGTAATATTTTAATCATTTATATTTATATCCTATATATATATATATATATATATATATATATATATATATATATATATATATATATATATATATATAATAAGGATATACAAAATATAAATATAAATGATAAATAAATGATAAATCATTTATATTTATATCCTATTTATATATATATATATATATATATATATATATATATATATATATATATATATATATATATATATATATAATAAGGATTTATACATTACCTTACCTTACAGGAGATCAATGTAGGTGTCGGCTAACACTAGTTTTGTCTTCCTAGTTATTATTTCAGAGCCATAAAGAGAATTACTGCTAGATAGCAATCACCTGTATTTTCTTCTTCATGGCCAGGCATGTATCAGCAAACTAATAAAGCCCGATAAAGCTCAGACTTTCCCGAATAAAAAGTGATCCATCAGATCCTGTATGTCAGAAAGTATAGTTTACTGCTAACCAACTCATTTTATGATGGTAAAATAACACAGAAATCGAATAATAACGCTGCAATCTCCTCTCGAAGCTCCGACGTCTGCTTTGAGAAACTGTCAATCACGATTCCACAGGCTTTTTAAGTTAATTATTATTATTTTTTGTTGTATAAAAGGTAAAGGTATGCTGTTAGCTTGGATATATAAAACAAAGCCAAAGTTGCTCATTCATTTAACAACTCCACTCGCTGACTGCTTCTTTACCACTGTTTCAACATTGACAACCCTACACTACAGTATATGTAATTACTTATAATTGATATGTAATCAATTAAGGTTGAGTCAGAAAACAAGGCAGCAGAGAAATGTTATACTTACCAGTCCACTACAAGCAACAACCCACATGTAGGCACTTGAGGTCAAGAGCTGATGACATGACAGCAGAAAACAAAAGAAATTCAGAACTATTTAAAGCACTTTCACATCTACAAAACACAACTGAAACATCTTAAACCAGCGCAGCTAAATTACCATCAAACTTAACTGCAAGTGCCCAACACAAAGAAAGGTTAATTGATGCAAGAATAAAACAAATAAAACCATAATGCATTATTGGATAAATAAATTACATTTGTTAGTTTTATATAGAAATGTTTATAAATATTTTTGTAAATACTGAAAAACTGACAATTTCATTGAAAGGTCAAATGTTCCCAACCTATTTATGTTTTTGCAGTAAAAATGCAGCAACTTCTGCTATCGCTAATATCTTAAACAGCTCACAAGCACCATCACAGCAAAAAAACCACAAAGAACCACTTCTTATCTAATTTCTCATGTGCCATCAGTCTGTTACACCACAATCATTTTATCTGCTCTTGCAACAAATTTGTTTGAAGAAAAAAAAAAACATCTTATTAGTCTTACGAAACCTTTTTAATCTAAACTTGCTTATCAACAGAGGTGTTACAGATGTCACTAAAATGACACAAACTAGTTCTCACGCAGATTACATTTTTGAGATATACTTGTAAAATATGAAATCTTACAGGGTTAAAGAAACTGTTGATTTCTAAACGCACCTGTGCACCCACGATGTAAGTCAAAGACTTGTTTGTGATTGAGAAGTGGCCGAGCAGCTGAGTCACATGAACTCGTGGGATGGAGCGGTAGAAAGGCACAAACAGAGCAAAGACTGGACCCAGCCTAAGAAAGCGGCAGAAAAAAAGGTAAGACAATAGGAAACTTGTACTTTTTTTCCAGGAGAAAACACACCATTCAATGGTACCATTTCAATTCTTTAGCATCAATGGCATAGCATCTATAATCTATAATAAAGAAAAAAAAAATTACTACCTGTCAAACATTTTGCAACAGTTACAATTTTTGTTTAAAAACGTTTTTAAATTAATTGTCTTCTGCTGACCAGAGTTAAACCTATTTAACCAAAAAAGATGACACTTAGCATTGTTATTAATAGCTATTGTTAATTTGAAATGATTAAAAATCATAAACAATTGATCATAAAATAGCAGCAAATGAACATATTAGAATGACTTCAGATAGATCATATAGTGTTACACTTAATTTAATCATTGACTCACAGAACACAATTACATTATTTTATGGTTTATTTTAAATTTAAACAATATTTTTTAAATAAAAACCATTCATCTACAAATCGCAATCTTTTTAAACTTTTGGCTGGTATTGTAGTTTGGAATGTGTCAATATCTTAGAGATATACTTCTTGTGTAATTTAACATTCTTTAAACTTAATAGATTTATTGTACAGTGCATTCGGAAAGTATTCATAGCGCTTCAATTTTTCCACATTTTTTTTTATGTTAAAGCCTTATTCTAAAATCGATTAAATTATTTTATTACCTCAAAATTCTACACACAATTCCCCCTTGACAATGTGTAAAATGTTTTTTGAAATTGTTGCAAATTTATTAGAAATAAAAACCTGAAAAATTACATGCACACAAGCATTCACAGCCTTTGTTCAATACCTTGTTGATTCACCTTTGGCAGAATTTACAGCCTCAAGTCTTTTTGAATATGATGTCACAAGCTTGACACACCTGTCTTTTGGTCTTTTCCCCATTCCTCTTTGCAGTACCTCTCAAGCTTTATCAGGAGCTTGGATTGGAATCGACTGTGTACAGCCAATTTCAGATCTCTCAAAAAATGTTCAATAGGATTTAGGTCTGGGCTCTGGCTGGTGCTACTCAAGAACATTCACCGAGTTGTTGTGAAGCCACTCCATTGATATTTTGGCGATGTGCTTTGGGTCATTGCCCTGCAGCAAAATTAACTGTCATCCCAGACTGAGGTCAAGAGCACTCTGAAGCAGGTTTTCATTCAGGAAGTCTCTATACATAGATGTACTGATCTTTCCCTCTATCCTGGCTAGTCTTCAGGTTCTTGCTGCTGAAAAACATCACCACAGCATGATGCTGCCACCACCATGCTTCACTGTAGGGATGGTATTAGCCTGGTGATGAGCGGTGCCTGCTTTTCTCCAAACGTAACACCTGGCATTCACTCCAAAGAGTTCAAGTCTCATCAGACCAGAGAATTTTGTTTCTTGTAGTTTGGGGGTCCTTCAGATGCCTTTTGGCAAATTCCATGCAGGGAGTGGCATCAGTCTGGTCACTCAACCATATAGGCCTGATTGGTGGATTGCTGCACAGTTTGTTGCCCTTCTTTAAGGTTCTCCTCTCTCCACAGAAAGAACGCTGGAGCTCAGACAGAGTGACCATCAGGTTATTGATTACCTCCCTAACTAAGGCCCTTCTCCACCGATCACTTAGCTTAGATGGCCAACCAGTTCTAAGAATAGTCCTGGTGGTTCCAAACATCTTCCTATTATGGATGATGGAGGCCACTGTGGTCATTGGAACTTTCAAATCAGCAGAAATGTTTCTAAAACCTTCCCCAGCCCTGTGCCTCCTGTCTTGGAGGTCTACAGACAATTCCTTTGTCTTCAGGCTTGGTTTGTGTTTTGACATTCAGTCAACCCTGGGATATTCCTTTTCAAATCAGTGTAAAAGAATGTACCGGAGCTCAATTTAGAGCTTCAAGGCAAAGGATATGAATCCTTACGTACATGTGATTTTTCAGGTTTTATTTTTAATAAATTTGCAATTATTTAAAAAAACTTTTCCACATTGTCGTTATGGGGTATTTTGTGTAGAATTGAGGAAATCAATGAGTTTAATCCATTTTGGAATAAGGCTGTAACATGAGAATTGTGGAAAAGGTAAAGCTCTATAAATGCTTTCCGGATGCACTGTATTTTACAAGGATTTTTGGGTTTTGGGACAAAATATAGAAATGACAATTTGATATGAATTAGTAAGGTTTACTTCTACCTTAAACATTGTTTCTTCTTATCCTGTCTGTTGACAAATCGAGCTCTCTGTGTTTTGCAGTTTTGAGCAGATGAGCCAAGACCATGTCAAATTTTAGTAAAATGAAGCAACAATGGTTAGCAGATTTCACAATAGTTTTCTTCAACGTGCAAAAACTTAAAATTGGTAAACTATCTTTTAAGTTAAGACTAGAAAATCTTATTTTTGCATTACAACTCGTAGATTCCTTGTATGAATTCTTTGGTAAAAAAAAAAATTAAAATAAATAAAAAGTCTAGATGTCTCAGTGAAAGCCACAAGATAATTTCAGTTCTCCATAAAGAGTTAAACATCCTCCCCACAACACTGAAAGAAGCAAAAGGAAAGTGACGAAAAGAGCAGCAGAAATGGAAAAAGAGGCAGGAAGAGACCACTTTCTCACGTTACACAGTCACATTTTAAAAGTGAGATGAGACTTAAAAAATAGCGAGAAAGAATAGCATTGATGTCTAACTGAAAATCTGCTTTATGCCATCTGGTGAGTATAATTTTATCAAATAATACAATTAATGTGTGAAAATACAAAAATATATATATATATATATATTCTGGTAAATGTATGTTAAATGTTACATATGTATGTTAAATGTGTGTTAAAACAATGGTAAACATAACTAAATACTGTAGAACTAAATATTACAATAAAAGTGGTTCAGTAAACAGCTATATTTGTATAAAGCAGCCTTCTGTCTATCTGGTAAATTTTTACAAAAAGATTTAACAATAAGTAATGCATTAATTATTCTTTTCTTACATCTCTTTTTAAAATTTTAAACAATGTGAATAGAATTTTTGCTTTTAATAATGTTTTAATAAATGCTGAAACTTAAATCTTAATAATAACTAACATAGCCAAATAAAGCCTTAGTTGGGTCTTATAGAATAATGTTACTGGATATATATATAGTTTATTATATATTTCAAACATACAGGTTTGTTCTTTTTTTCAAATGTCAACAATAATCCCAAAATGTTTAAAAACTGTCATTTATTTTTCATTTACACACTAAACAAATCAGATGCAGACAAATGCAGACAAAACAACAGAAACTTGCTGAGAAATGCTTTAAGTAAAAAAATGAATAGAAAAAAAAGATCTACAGCAGCCTACATTTACTAAATAACCAAACTATCAAGTGCAGATTATAATACCATGGGCTCAGAAAGACACAACACAACCATCAAAATATCAAATTAATTAAAACAGACAAATTGCATAATGATAAAAATAAAATCAAAAATCGAAAAGTGCTTCAGGTGTAATTAATGTGATTCATAGAGGGATAAAAAAAATCTCTTTCCCTCTTTCTCCCTCCTTCCATTACTGAATTAACAATGACAATGTTACTGAACTTTGCTTTCGATATATCATTTTCCGTATTGTTTAGATATACAATTGAGTCATGCGATCACAGTGTTTAAATGAACTCCAGAGGCACCTGAACTTTTTTACCCTGGTGAAGGCAAGTTTTGCCAAAATGTGTTGGTGCTGTATGATTTCTGTTAATAGAAAAGCCATGTTAATAAAAGTTTTTTAAAAATATTTTCAATTAATTTCGAGTGCTTATGATTTTGTAGATAAAAATAAAGATTTTTCATGTCAAAATAACATTCAAAAATTCCTTAAAAGCATTGAGGTTTAAAATGTTAAGCAAAATTCTAAACCCTGTCAAACAGTGCATAAAGTCAGTATTTATTATTATTATTAATAAGGATCATGAATCTGAATAGAGGAATGGCATCTTTACAATAAAAAAACAGCATTTTTAAATGCTGAAATATTAATTGTAAATGTTTTATTTACTCATTACATTTCTTATAAAATGCATAAATGCAGACTTGGTAAACTTAAAAAGAATAATAATACATAATATAGTATTTTAAATCATACTGACCCCAAACATTGCTGCCTCTGTCTTTGCAGTGAGGTCTCCTGTTTATAACTATGATGAGTCCTGATTTAGACCTGAACTTCTCTTCCAACTGCAACTTGTATGATCATCGTCCAGTGGCCCGGGTTCTCATACCACTGGTCTACTCCATCATATGTCCAGTGGGACTCTTAGGAAATGCTCTGGCTCTCCATGTGGTGATCTCCAGCACCACCAAAATTAATTCAATCACGCTTTATTCCGCCAACCTGGCTGTGTCTGATATCCTATTCTGCCTGTCGCTTCCTCTACGAGCTGTTTACTATGGATTGGGTTTCCACTGGCCGATGGGAGAAGTACTGTGTAAAGCCATAGCACTGCTCTTCTATTTGAACTGCTACGCTGGTGTGAACTTCATGACATGTCTGGCGGTGGACCGTTTTGTGGCGCTAGTGTTTCCTGCTAGACTGGCAAAACTGAGAAAGGCAAAAAATGTACGCTTTGTGTGTCTGGCAATATGGCTGCTGGTGCTGGCCCAGACGCTGCCCCTGCTAACAATCGGCCTTACTAAAACCGAGCCTGACAGCAGCATCACCTGTATGGAATACCCCAATTTTGAGGGTGTTTTCAAAGGGCTGCCCTACATGCTGATCGTAGCAGTAGTTTTAGGTTTTGGCATCCCAGTGATGACAATCATCGCTTGTTATTCAATCCTGACTCACAAACTACATCAAGCGGCAAAGTCAAACCAACTGACAGAACGTTCCGGAAAGACCAAAAAAGCCAGAGGAGTGATTGCAGGCGTGGTATTTGTGTTTGTGGTTTGTTTCAGCCCATATCACATAGACATCCTGCAATACATGATTCGGAAGCTTCTCTATGAAACGGACTGCAAGGAACTGCAGTCGTTTCAGATCTCTCTACATATCACGGTGTGCCTTATGAACCTAAATTCCTGCTTGGATCCCTTCGTTTACTTCTTTGCATGTAAAGGCTATAAGCAAAAGGTAATGAGGATGATGAAGTGGCAGGTTGGCACCCACTTCTCCAGTGTGAAGAACTCTGCTGAAAGTTCAGGCACAGGTGATGTGCTCGGAACACGCCGCAACAATAGGATAATAATGAACAATGTTGGAGAGGATCAGCAGATTTGTTATCAACCAAGCGCAACATAAGCCTCATTTTATGCACACTTTACATCAGTTGGACAGAAGCACTCGGTGCTACTCACTACTCACTACTCAACGAACAAACAAAACCAATGTTTTTGACTTACAAGCATAATGAAAGCAAGTAATTTGAAAGGATGTGGAAGGCAATTAAGATTGGGATCGTAATTCATGTTTTGGTTCACCACAATGTATGAACATTTTGTTTTGCTGTGCTTTCTTACAACACATCCTAAAAAGATCATGTTTTAGGCTGGAAGTGGTCAAAAGTGGATTAAAGCTCCAGAAAACAAGCCTTAAGGTGATGGAACAGAACATCTGAGAACAAAACTGTCAGTTATAAGTCATGGAAAAGGCTAATGAAAAGTCACAAATAGTCAAAGAAAAATAAAAAGTCCCAGACAATTTGGCCTTCCTCGATTTAAACAACACACACTTCATCTAACAACTGTTGTGCACAAAAAGAGGAAAGAGATCAAATATACATGACACATGAACTAAATGTTGACTTTTTTCAATGAAAGTGTAACTGTTAAACAAAAATGTTAAATGAAATGTTCTCAAAAATAATTCTCACAAAATAACTTTTTTACTCAGAAATTACAAGTTGTATGCTTTTCTTTACTGTATAGAACATAAAAAAGATTCTACAAAATAATTTGCCAGTTTCAGTGTTTTTTATCCATACACATCACCAACATTTATGAACATTCTACAAAACATTGCTTTATGTGTTTCAAGGATATACAGTTGAAGTCAGAATTATTTGCCCCCCGTCAATTTCTATTTAACCGAGAGACGATTTTTTAACACATTTCTAAATATAATAGTTTTAATAACTCATTTCTAATAACCTTTTTTTTAATCTTTACCCTGATGAAAGTAAATAATATTTTACTAGATATTTTTCAAGCCGCTTCTATACAGCTTAAAGTGACATTTAAAGGCTTTAATGGGTTAATTAGGTTAACTAGGCAGGTTAGGGTAATTAGGCAAGTAATTGTATAACGTGGGTTTGTTCTGTAGACTATCGAAAAAATATATAGCTTAAAGGGGCTAATAATTTCGACCTTTAAATGTTTTTCAAAAAAATTAATAACTTTTGTTTTAGCCTAAATAAAACACAATTTCCATAGTCTGTTGTGTTTGTTTATAACTTTAGCTCTCATCCTGTTTAAAGGCACAGGGCGTGCTGACATAAGGTACAGTTGCCTTGAACCATGCCAAAGCGCAAATGCAGCGTGGGATTTGCGTCTTTAATAAACCATGACAGTTCATGTTCATTGAAAAATAAGAATGATTAATAAATCTATATGAAACAGCCCCATAAAAGTGACGTGGCGTATTTGGTTTTGGGCTCAGTCGCGCTTCGCACTCACACTACAAGCATTCCATGCCAAAGACCAACCGAACTGCGCTCTGGCACACCTCTTCCAACCGGGCCAGGTATCGCCAACTAAACTATGCCTGAGCCCAATTCGGAGTCCTCACACTTGTCAAATGAACCTGGAAACACGCACAGACATGGTTCAGATAGCCTAGTGTGAGTGGGTGCAAAGTTTCTTCTTAGTATGATGTATGGGCTTAACTAGACGGCAAATATGATTAAAATGAGCAAGCTAGTATGCAGTATGCTAGAATGCAATATTAGTATGCTAGTATTTATCTTTTATTCAATGCACAGACCATTTTTATTGCACATAATTAAATAAAAAAACCAAAGAACTGAAACAGAAATGAACTGAAAGTAAATATGCAAAGCTTGTTATTTGAGTTATATTAAGTTCTATAGCATTTTATTAGTAGAAATGACTCCTCCACCACCAGTATGACGTCATTAACAGCAGTTAAAACCAACTTGTCTCAAACAATGTACAAGTGACAGTTTGAGAAACAGGCATCAGTAGCAAGTTTTATTTGTTTATTTGTTTCTGAAACTATGAAATGTTAGGTAAGTAGTTATATCATTATCCCACCTAAGAATTTTTGTATGAACTATCCCTTGAAAATCAGCTATTGCTAACTCAAATATATATAATGTCATTTATACATTAAAAAATGAATACAAAAGAATATGATGCTTGTGAAACAGTGAACGTGAATGAATCAACAAGGGTGTCAAATGTCAAGATGAGCGATAGTAACACTTGAAATACTTAGGAGATTTCTTCAGACCTGTGTAAGAATTTCACTGATTGACGCACAGCAGCTATTACAGATCTTTTTATAAAAAATAAAAACACTACATGCCAATCTCACATAAAGGATCCTCACACAGCTAGTAGCACAAAGAAAACAATAACATATTGTAAGAATATTCAGGATACTTGACTTTCACTAGAAGTTACATTATGCAAATCTAAATTACAATTTTAAACAGGGAAGTTGATGTTTGTTCAACAGGAAACTCAAGAACTATGCTTTCACATACAGATAGTGTTTCAGGAATCAGCAGCAAACCAGTCTGATTGCATCACACAGTGCATTCACACGGTAATACTGCTCATAACACCTAATAACTTGCAAAGAGCTGCGAACGATACAAAAACATGTTATACTCACAATCCAGCTGGAAGAACATCCACCTTAAGTTCAAACGTGAAGCGAAGAGCTTCTGTCAGCAGCAAGTCCACAAAAGCAGAAAGAACCCAAGCTCCAAAGAGGAAAGACTAAACATCATGATCAAAAACAGGACAATGCTTTAGGGGAACAGCTTTAATAAAACTAATTAAAATGGTTTAAACTCCTCAGCATGTGAATGAATCTACAGTAAATAAGCACGTGAAATGAAACGTTCGGTGACATGTGAGATAGCTTTTGGTTTCATTCCAAAGAACACACTTTAAAAAAAAGAATAAAAAATCTAATTTTAATGTTTATACATTTTAAATAAAATACATTCTAAATGGAAGGCTGATGAAAAGAGCAGTATGCTTTGATTACGTGTCCAAAAACTGATGTGAACTGATTACTAGATAAAATGCCGGTGTCATTTGACCTTTATGCACCTTATCTTGATCTGGTATGTGTGTGCGTAGTATTATGAAGCTATTGTTTTTGTGTGCATTTAAATGATATATGTGTGTCTGCATGTGTATATACTTTGTTAGTCATACTTTACAATAAAGTCCCATTAGTTATGTATTTACACATGAATTAAGAAAAAATACTACAAATGTTACTGTAATGGCTTGTTTCCACTGAGTTTTACAGCTTAGTTCAATACAGTATGATACGCAATACGCATGGTACACACATACAAAAAAAGAGATAGACTCACTGCTAAATGCTTTTTGTTTATGCGTAGCATAAATGTTAAATACATGTTGTTTGTACATAGTTTATGCATAAATTATTTGGTTGACTTTTTCAAGTGTAAACAATAAATAATCTATTTGTGAAAACAACACATTTTCAACATGTTAAAATTTGCATGTTTTTGAGCTTTCTAGCTTCCTCTCTATTCTACATTTGAAATGATGATCTGCACAAAAGATGTGATCTGTGATATGTGTATGACCTTCGTCTTTACCCAAGATCAACATCAAACACAACTTTCTTGCAAGCCTGATGAGGGTGTCCCAAACCAATTCATACTGTACTCAACCGTAGTACTCAGTGGAAATCAGGCATTTTATTTAACACTCAAAACAATTTCATAGTTTTAAGACCATTATAAATAAAATTTCAGGCTCATACAGGACTTTTCAAATGACACAGTTGGGCCAATAAAAAGATTTTACTTGCCTTATCAAAAAAATGTATTTAGTTATTTCTTAGCTCATTTTAAACAATGTGCAACTCTAGTTGTAAACATGCACCTTTTTTTAACATAATGCTACTTTTAAAAAACTGACACATTTTAAAAAGTATAACACACTAAATTTATGCACAACAGTCTGTCCAAAATACATTGAGATAGTTTATTAAATATTAATGTAAGGAAGAGAATTACATCATGTTGGTAAATGGAGTTGAAAATGTAACATTTGTTTTTTTTAGAGGGATTGTTGGTCATTGAATGCATTTCGGTCCAATTGGTATAGTTTTAAATGGACATAGGGAAATTGTGACCTGTTTAAAATGATTTAAGACTTACAACACAATATTGCAATAGATTATTATTATTTTTTTAATTAAAAACATTTAAAGAAGTTTTAAGACCCTGTGGATAATAAAATGATCTATTATAAAAAATACAAAGCTT